TGTATCAGTGGTGGGTTTCAAAATTTTTTAGAACCTCTTCTGTAGGTGTAGCCTGCTTTGTGGGAGTGGCTTGCCAGCCATGTGAGTGGGTGGGAGTGGCCAACTTGTGATGAAACTCACTTAACAACGCTCTTGCTTAGCAACCAAAATGTTGGCTCAGAAACTGGCATTTGAAGCACACAAGTCTTAAAGCTATCAAGTTTGAACACCCCTGTGGGTTTTTTTTCCTAAAGGGTTAGGGGTGCAAAGGTCTTGTAACTTGATAGCTTTAAGACTTGTGTGCTTCAAATGCCAGTTTCTGAGCCAACATTTTGGTTGCTAAGCAAGAGCGTTGTTAAGTGAGTTTCACCACATTTTACAAGTTGGCCATGCCCACCCAATCACCTGGCTGGCAAGCCACTCCCACCCAGTCACATGGCTGGCAAGCCACTCCCACAAAGCAGGCTACACCTACAGAAGAGGTTCTAAAAAATTTTGAAACCCACCACTGCCTTGGCCCCTTGGCAGTGTGGGGCAATGAGGAGTTTGGTCCAGTACTTTGGGCTGATAGCAATAGGAGGAGATACTCCTGCAAGTGGTCAGGTGCCACACAGTAAAGGGTTTTTACAAGTTAAAACCAAAAATTTAAATATTTGTCAGGAATCAATCAGCAACCCATGCAAGGTGTGAAGAATCAGTGTTACATTCTTTGGTGCTTACAGATTAGGATTCCCGGTGATCTGCTTGATAACCTGGCAGTAAACCTCATCATGCAGAGTCTTCTTGTATTTGCAACACTGTAAAAACCCAGGGGGGAAAAAAGAATTTAGTTTCTTCTTCTCTTGCAGGCCACATGGGAAGCACTAGGATTACCCCTGAGCTGAGAGACACTTGAATATAATTTTTTCTGCAATGGTCCCTAATTGTACTTTTTGATCTTGAACTCCCAAGATTGGAGTGTTACCTGGCACTTTCATTGGACTCTGAGGTCAGATTGATGTCAGTATCTCATGATAATCTGCATTGTGCTTGATAGGAGTACATGATAAGGCCTTTGGTTTCTGGATAAAGAATCCAGAAACTGGGACTTCTTATTCCACTTAGCCATTACAGCTCTAGCAAGCAGAATTTGGAGGCCAAAGAGCAAGTTATGTGTACCATAGAAAAGGAATCAGGAATGAATTTACTGCTGAACTCAGAGCAGAAGCTCAGATCTTCTCAAAACTTTAACAAAAAGGTCCCAAGGAAACAGAATTAGCTTACCATAGTTTGGAATAAGTCAAACTACATATCAACCCATTAGTGCAAAATACATATAGACCAGGGGTGGGCTTCAAAAATTTCAGCAATGGGTTCTCTGCCTGGTTGCTGGGTGGGTGTGGCCATGGTGGGCGTAGCCTAGTCGGCCTCCTACACCATGGTGGAGGCATTTTCGCCTTCCCCAGGCTCCGGAGGCTTTCCTCAAGCCTCTGGGAGGGTGAAAACTTTCTCTCCCAGGCTCCGGAGATTCTCCGGAAACAGGAAACGGGCCCATTTCCAGCCTTCTGGAACTTCCGGGGGGCCTGTTTTTCCCCCTCCCCAAGCCTCCACGTGGGCCCTGCACTTACCTTGCATCTGAAACGGGCCGCGTGGAGACTCCTGGGAGGGGAGAGACAGGGTGGGAAGAGCCAGCCAGGGATGGGATTTGGAGGTTCTCCGAACCATCCATAACATTAGCTATGGGTTCTCCCGAACCCGGGCGAACCCGTAGTAGCCCATCCCTTATATAAACCCATTAGTGATAAGAACTCATATTTTGAAATGACTCAGAATGTGCAGTGTTTAACTTCTTTCCTTTCCTAAGATTTTTGTTTCTTTTCCCTATTCCCATTCCCTACTTTATCTTGATTTTCAGCTGTACTGTCTTGCTCCCTCTTGATATCTTTGATCTATGATTATTATTTTGCAAATTGTTAAACTGTGCATAATTTAATTTAAGATAAGATAAGAGTTCATAGAGTTAGCTAAGGGGAATAGAAAGGGAAAATAAGCATCTGAAAATCAATCTCCTTTCAAGGCAATCAATGCCCCTTCAGTAGAAATCTGATGACCTTTCAAGTCTCATTAGGCTACTGTTATCTACACAAATCCACCACAAGAGCCACAAACCTGAAGGATTTCATAGATATAATCCATTTTATCTTGTTTCTTGAGGCCTGGCTGGTCTCCCATGAACCTCATCAGAGCTTCAAAATAAGAAATCAGCGTTAATCTTAGCTGGAAAAGTAAAATATAGGGTTACGGCACTGATTCCTAAGTGGAGATTCAGGGGCCTCTGTTTTGATCAGTATTATCACCATCAAATGCAAACAGTACAATATATCTAAATTTATCTTCCACTTAGGAAAGAGAAACTGCCAGTGAATTTGTGTGATTTTTCCTAAAGAGGATGATTCAGAATGACAATTAGCAATATATTTTTTGTGAACAAATGTTGTTCCCCAAGTATATACAATACAATACAATAAAACTATAGATCCGAATGCATGTGATTTCACTGTTCTTGTACAAGATCTTTGAAAATTATCTGAAAATGTGGGAGGGGAAATGCATAAGCACCATCTCATAAGAACTTGCAGAGCTGCCTGCCATCTAAAGTATTCCTGATTCTTGCTAAAGAATATTCAAATATTTTAAGAGGGGGGTTGGGGATCAAGCATTGCATTTAAAAAAGATTTCTCATTACAACAGTGTTTAAAATGTCTATGCATAACCAAAACCCTTTTTACAGGTTTAGTGTCTAATATAAGTATTTGATTGCATCCCCTTCTCACATTTCATTTTAAGATTATGACTAACCACTAATCCTTTCTCTCCTGTCCCCATCATTCTTCTTTTATTTACCACTTTGTCAATTGGAAAAGTTTTTAAAAATTCAAAAGCAGCAAATATGGAGTTGTCCTAGCAAAAATATAGTCCTGATAGTTGATTTTCAGAGAACTGGTACAAGTAGATATATTCTTAGTACCTTTCCTGAATCCATAGCTAAATAAATAAAAGTTTAATCAGTGCTGTGGCAATAGCATTAGTCATAGCAACAGCAATAGCACTTAGACATAACCTGTTTCCCTGAAAATAAGACCTCCCTGGATAATAAGCCCAATTGGGCTTTTGAACGCATGTGCTAAAATAAGCCCTCCCCCCAAAATAAGCCCTCCCCAAAAATATTGCAACACAGCAGCAGCCATGAGGTGACCACGCTCACCGCCTCCTGTACCTTCCCAAAAATAAGGCCAAACACTTATTTTGGGGGTCAAAAGAAAATAAGACCCTGTCTTATTTTCGGGGAAACATGGTATATACTGCTTCGAGGGCTCTTCGGCCCTCTCTTTTTTTAAATTAAAGTTTTTTATTTTTTTATTTTCATAACACATAACCACATCATTTTTTACTATTAAATATTAACATCAATTTGTCTTACCATCAACTCCCAAAAAACAATTATTGGCTCCTCTGCTCTCCATACCCTGTCCGTCACTTTCTTCTCCCTCTCTCCTCCTCCTCCCTACCTCCTTTCCACCCTCTGTCATTTTTCTCTTCTCTACTTCCCCTTCCTCTCTTCTTTTCCTCTCTCCCCTTTCCACTCCTTCTTTCCCTCCCCCTCTTCCCCCCACCCTCTCTCCTTACCCTCTTCTTCCCTTGCCTCTCTCCTCTCTTCCACACTCTCCCTCTCATCCTCTGAGCAAGCTCCATTTTATGTTGATGGTATTTATAATTTCATATTCCCAGCTATTCTCATCATAATATTGTATAGTTATATATCATTACCCACCCCAAATTTTTAATCTATCTTTATAATCTCATTATAAGTATATTCCATGTTCCCCCTCCATTTTTCCATATCCTAGCTTATATTTGATTGTCTTTAAATAACAATCCCTGCTGCTCAATGTTCATTACAATTATTTATTTATTTATTTATTTATTTATTTATTATTAAAATTTATATGCTGCCCAATCCTGAAGGACTCCGGGTGGCTTACAAAGGAAAAAAAAGAGAAAGAAAAGAATAAGACAAAAAAGACAGTTTAAAACCACAAAAACCACATGCATTCATTCTAACCGAGGCTGGACCTCAACAATGAGGTCAACAGCCCCAGGCCTGCCAGAACAGCCAGGTTTTTACAGCTTTCCTGAAGGCCATGAGGGTGGGTCCGGATCTCTGGGGGTAGCTGATTCCAGAGGGTCAGGGCAGCCACAGAGAAGGCTCTCCTCCGGGGGCCTGCCAGCCGACACTG